CCGGGCCGTGTCCGAACCCGCCTGCACCCCACCCCCCAACTCCCTGCCCTAAGCTCCCTGCCTGTACCTCATACCCCTCCTGCACCCCAACTCCCTGCCCTGAGTCCCCCTTGTACGCCCCACATCACTCCTGCACCCAACCCCCTGCCCTGAGCCCCCTGCTGCACCCTGTACCCCAACTCCCTGCCCTGAGCCCCCTGCTGCACCTCGCACCCCCTCCTGCACCCCAACTCCCTTCCCTGAGCCCCCTCATACACCCTGCACCCCTCCTCTTCCCCAATCCCTTGCCCTGAGCCCCTTCCTGCACACTGCACCCCCTCCCGCACCCCAACCCCCTGCCCCGGCCCTGCATACAATTTCCCCACCCAGATGTGGCCCTCGGCCCAAAAAGTTTGCCCACCCCTGCTCTAGGTTGACTAGCCTCAAGTGGATGCTACTGGTTAAGGCCCTTTATTCAGCCAAACACTTAAGCACACACTTAATTTCCATTATCTTCCATGCAACTTAAAGTTGATAATGTGCTTACATGATTGTCTGAATAGAGGCCTAAGTCAGAAGCCTCTTCTCCCTCAGAAAGCGAATACTGCTCTTATTAGTGGCTCAGCTAGTCACCTAAGTACGACAGTGGGTATAAGGTGATGGAGAGCATGGCAGTGCCTTGGCTGGCACTCTTCTGGATGTGCCATAGCCCTGCCTGCCAGCCCTCTCAGTACCCAAAACCCTCACTTCGTCTTCATGTGCTCCCATGTTGCTGCAGGCCATGGAAATGCAGATCAAGAAGCAGTTCCAGGACACGTGCAAAGTGCAGACGAAGCAGTATAAGGCGCTCAAGAATCACCAGCTGGAAGTTACTCCAAAGAGCGAGCACAAAACGATCCTGAAGAGTCTGAAAGACGAGCAGACGAGGAAGCTCGCCATCCTGGCAGAGCAGTACGAGCAGAGCATCAACGAGATGATGGCTTCACAAGCCGTAAGTGCCAAGTCCGCCGCTTCAGATCCTCTTGGTGAATGGGATACGCCAGGATCCACGCCCATGGGGAACCGTGGGCGTGAATATTAGTGTAGTGCAGGGGACAGAGCCAGGTATAATGTGAGCAGCTTCTCCTTCCATCTCTGCCAGTGCACCTCATTCCTAAGCTGCATGACCTGTTGGTCCCCACACAGCTTTGCCAATGCACCTCCTGCTTGACATGAAGGTCCCTTGCTTTTCTAGTCATGGGCCTCTCCTGTTCAGTCTTCCAGGCATGCTGAATTGTGGTAGTTTATAGGGTGAGGATTGTTGTCAATTGAGTAGCAAATGAAGACTCTTAAACGAGTTTTGCTTCTGATCTCTAAGTCCCCAGATGTCTCCTGCCTGGTGGTCTTTGCCCTCACCACTCTGCTGCCCAGATACTAGGTTTACAGTTAAAGAACAGGCATCTTCCCCAAATTGCTCAGCAATGTGTACACAGTGTGTGAAGGTCAAATTCACCCCTTTCCTGGGATTTGCCTTTAACGAAGAATACAAAAGCCCTCTCCCAAGGCATGGATGTGGCTAGGGTTCCTCCCTCCAAGCTACTCAGCCCACATCCTAGGTCCTCAGAGCTCAGAGAGACACTCCCACTCCATTTACATCCGGGTGTGGTACTTAGCCACCTGCCTCACTGAGTCGGTAGAAGTCACTTACCATCTTTCAACATGATCAGCACCTGTGTGTTGAGAGGGGTGTTTGAGGCAGACACTGCAAACCTCTTGCAACAAGTAACTGTCCTGAGTTACCGAATGTGAATAATAAAATGCAGTGATTCGGAGATCCACTTAATGGAGGAACTCTTCCCAGCTCATTCTGGGCCTTGCTCCTCCTTTTGTCCTGGGTGTTTCCGCCAGTAGGTCTCCTCACTTTTGCCGCTTCCCAAGGTATTGAGGCATTGATAAAGCCTAGCGCTGCCCATGTGGGGCTCCCAGACACACAGTATTTCTCTGACTTTCCCTAGCTGCTGTTAACACAAGTGCCTGTTCTCTAGCCAGCAGTGACCCCCACTTGCCAGCCAGCCGTGTTCCTGCTCACCAGCTGGCAGGGTTAGCGGTAATGCGGCTATCTCAACAGTGGGTTTTAAAGTAATGCTTTCCGCACCACGGCTCCACCAGTGAGCAAGCGGATCGGTTCCATTACACAGCCCAACCCCACAAATCCAGGGGGTGTCTATAACCAGGACCTTCAGTCCGATGGCTGCTCCCACGGGCCACTGGAAAGACAGACATTTCTAATGCAGATGCCGCTTGCCGCCAGCCATCAGCACCGCTGATGCTGGGATCTGGGTCGTGTTTAGGTGCAAACTCATCAGTGTGTAGGCAGGGAGCAGCACGTTCCCACCTGGCCCCAAAGCAGGGAAGTAACTGGTTGAGTTGACATTTCGTTTTTGAACGATCTTGCAGCTACGGCTGGATGAGGCTCAAGAAGCAGAATGCCAAGCCCTGAGGCTGCAGCTCCAGCAGGAGATGGAGCTGCTGAACGCATACCAGAGCAAAATCAAGATGCAGACGGAAGCACAGCATGAACGAGAGCTCCAGAAGCTGGAGCAGAGGGTGTCTCTGCGCAGGGCCCATCTCGAACAAAAGGTACGTTTCAGACATGCTGCCGGGCAACATCTGAATCGCTCCATTGTGAATCGCTCCTTGGAGCTAGCAACGTCTGAGCTGTCCTTGTTACTAGTTAAATCAGTGCCAGGAACTGAAGGGTTAAATAGAATGGATGTGCTGAAGGAAATTTGGGCAAATAATTTCAAAATGGATAAAAATAAATGCTTTGTCTGCACATGTAGTTCACCTGTGGAACACCCTGCCTATTTGTTGAGGTACATAATCTAGTAAGATTTCTTAGGCCTAGTCTTCACTTACCGGCTGGTCCGGCGGCACGCCATCGATGTTCTGGGATCGGTTTATCGCGTCTGGTTAAGACGCGATAAATCGATCCCGGATCGATCCCAGAAGTGCTCACAATCGGCGCCGGTACTCCAGCTCGCCGAGAGGAGTACGCGGCGTCGACGGGGGGAGACTTCCGGCCGCGTCTGGACCGTAAGTCCGGACTAAGGTACTTCGAATTCAGCTACGTTATTAACGTAGCTGAATTTGCGTACCTTAGTCCGAAGTCCGGACTAAGTGGGGACCAGCCCTTAGAGAATCACTCATTTCCATGGGTAAGGATAGCATCTGCAGTTAACCCTTGTAATTTTACTGTCTGGGGTTAATCAGTCCTCATGCTTCAGGGCTGAACACCAGCTGGAGTCAGGAAGAAAACTACCCTGCATGGTCATATTAAACGGCCAGGTGCATTTAGGGCTTTAAGTATCTGGCACTGGTTGGTGCTGGAGCCAGGATACCAAACTCCCTAACTAGGCCTTGGGCTGCTCTGGTGATGGGGTCCCCAGGCAACACTTGGATTGTCTGTTCTGATAGTGGGGTATGTCTGCCTCCAGAGAGGCCAAAGCCATCCAAGGTGTAGGACCAGGAGGATCCCTAGCAGTTCTCCTGTCCTTAAGCCCCCTTTCCATCTTGCACATCATGGCTTCCCACTTCAACATGGGAGACCAGATGCTGCTCCTAAATCAGCCAGCAGGGGAGTCACCCTAGCGTGGTGGACACCAGGTAGCTAGTGAAGCTGTTACCCGGAGCTTGCTGTGCTTTGAGGTGCTGGCTAAAGAAGTTGCTGACTGTGCTTGTTTCAGATTGAAGAGGAGCTGGCTGCCCTCCAGAAGGAACGCAGCGAGAGGATAAAGTTTCTGTTGGAAAGGCAAGAGCGAGAGATTGAAACGTTTGACATGGAAAGTCTGCGACTGGGCTTTGGGAATTCGGTCACATTAGATTATCCCAAGGAGGACTATAGATGAGATTAAATTTCTTTTGCCATTTTCAAAAAAAGCAAACAAACAAAAAAAATTATGAAAAACCAACATTCCCCATGTTAACGGGCGTGCTCTCTCTCTTTCTGTCTCTTACTGACGTTGTGTCGGACTAGTGCCTGTACGTTCTTACTCTGTCAGGGCCCCTTCCCCTGCGTCAAGTGCCAGTGCTGGACAGCTCCTGGCCGTCTCTTTTCATAGTACGTCACAGTATTGGTGTCTCAGTGCAATGATGACAAATGTTTCAGTGAAAGCTTTGGAGACGATTTTAACGAATCAAACAAAAGTGGATGTCTGTTGCTTTTGAGCAATCACTCATTTTACCACCAATCAATGAAAGTACAAGCAAAAAAAAACCCCAACCCTATATATGAAAACCCAGGGGGAGAGAGACGAAATCCGCAGCCTTACCTTAACTAGCTGCTGCATAATTTTATTTTATTTTAATTTTTTTTTTTTTGGTATTTATTCATCAGGAATAATTAAATAAAAAAATAAAAAATTTATTAAAGATTGAGAAATTTGATACATTTTACAGAAAAAAAATCTTAATCGTGATGTACATATCAGTGGTGACATATTATTACTTTTGGGGGGGCAGGGGAGGGAATGGGGCGGGGTGAAGAGATCTCGTGATTTTTAAAAGAACCATGCCAGGCGAGGTGGGGGTTTCACCTCAGCCTTCGGCATATTCTTGATTGTATCATAATCATTTTCTGCTGTCGCAGAGAATGTGAATACACTTAAATGGGCCCACAGGATCCCAGTAGCACAAATTGGGCTTTGTCAAATCGTGTATTTTGTGTATAGAAGGAATTTAAGGAGAGCTTTTACTTATTTTCATATTGTATTTTAACTGTTTCTCTGATCAGAATTTTTTTACTCCTTTCCTCTCCCCATCCCCAGCCGCTCCGCCCCCTGACTTTCCAGTTCTGTATTTGGAGTTCAACGCTGTCTCTCGGTCAGATCATCCTGATCTTTCTTTTCTTTTTTTGTCCCTCCCCCCAAACCCACCTCCCTCCCCAGAATCTCGGTCATAAATACTGCATTCTTCACACTTTCAAACTGTGTATTTTCTTACAATAAAAAGCGGTAAAAAAAAGGCTTTACCTTCTTTTGCATGCACTTTAAAAAAACAAAAACAACAAAAAAACATTTTTCAGGTTCCAAGGAAGAGCATGAATAACTGTCAGAGCTTTTAATTATATTTGTAAATAAAAGTGTTCATCACAATGCCTCGCTGTCTCATTGTCGCGGAACAAGCCGCTCTCGCCCACCGGGAGTGGTTATCCACACCCGGCCTCACCGCTCCTCTTACTTCCAAGCTGAGAGCGGAACCAGGCCTGCGTGATTTCAACGCCACCCTTCCAAGCCACAGGATGCATTTGAAGCTTCAGAGCAATCTCTCTCTAAGGAACCTGCTTGGCTGCTTGTGATGCGGATGAAACAGGTGCTGCATACTCAGCCCAGACTCTCCTGCAATACATGGAGATGGGCAGTTCTCTCTGCACGGCATTGATCAGATGAACCCATCTGCTTACCGCAAACAAGAATTGGTGACTATGATTTCTCCATCATTCTTCAACCTGCTGCTGCCTTAGGGTGGATTTGAGGGACTGAGCTAGTGGTTCTCCGTGGTTTTGGTTTTTTTTGGAATCTACAATGCAGTAGATGAATGGCCCAGCCTCCCTTCCTCGATGGCACCCTCCTGCCCCATCTCCTCTTGGCTATGCCCTGGCCCAGTTACCATTATCTACTTTTTCTGCCCATTGTATTGCTATTCTTTCCCCCTTTTTCATCTTTATTTCCAGCTTGGGGAAAACAGAGCTAATACTAATGTGTAGTGTAGCCACTCACTGCTGTTCCGTCCTGTCCAAGTTCCTGTTTTGCTCGTGTATCTTCACTCACTTTCCCTGGGCGTTCAGGAGTGGGGTGCTTAGGTTTTGGCCCGAAAGGGAAGTTTATTATTGATATTGCAACCAGCAGTGCCCTATAATAATATACATATAAACTGTTGCCACTAACTCCCACAGCCCTTACCATCGATGTGGGTACCCCTTGCATTCATAATGAGTGAGGGAGAAAAAATAGCAGCCCTGGAATGAATCGTCCACCTGTGTTAGACTCAAAGGTAGAGATCTTCATTTGCTGTTAATGAGCATTCCTGGTAGACCCATGCTCATTCATATCAGCTGTGGATGCTTACACAGGCATTGTGTCCCATTAGTAAGTCCCTTTAAGTGCGTTACATTTATATCTCCTGTGGGTTGTTGGAGATGCCATTGAAGACTGGTGGAACAGCTCTGCTCATGAGTGAAATTGTAACGCAGTGCTGATGCGTCCCATATTTTTCCACCCGGCGCTTTGATCATGGCTTTTACAGCCCCACTTCTATGAAGCTCATTGGGGGTAGTACCAAATATTAGCCGAAGTGTAAACATAGCTGCTTTGTCAGGACACTTACCATTTAATTTTGGGTTCACGTGTCTCGCTTCCCAGCCTGGACCAGAAGTGCGTTTACCTGGAAGGTGCCCCTGTTCAGAACCGTTACGGCCTTTGTATCATCATCAAAGCACTTGGGAAATGAAGGTGTTTTCTTGCAAACTGGCAATGGCCGTGGCCTAAGGTAGAATTGGCCGGGGGCGGGGGGGAACTGAAGCCTCTGCAAATGGTTGGGGATTTGTATTGTTTCAGGGAAAGACATCAAATGGGCATTAAAGTCTAGTGCTGGAGCAAGACTGGTGGTGCCAGAGCTGGATGGATCCTTACAATGTGCTCCGCCCTGTGCTTGAGTAGCACCTGCTTGTGCTGGCTGAAAAACCATCAAGGCAGTGGCTTGTTCTAGCCCCAAGACAGGAACGAGGAACCCCAGCAGCACAGACTTGAGTTGCTTCTGTTGCTGTCCGACAGGTTAGCCCAGACAGCATGTGTAAGTCCTTCTTCCAGCAGATGGCAGGCGTGATAATGTGCCATGCTACTCCCTACAGTCAATCTGTCTGTCTAGCTTATGTTTGTCCTGATTCAAAGAAATGAAGGTGGTGTTACCATCCAAAGAACAAGGATGTTTATTTGACCTTGGCCTAAAATAAGATCTTTCTTAGCAAAAAGTTTAATTCTCAACATATAGCCCTCCCCATTCTTTTTGAGCCATGAAATTAAGGCAAAATGGTAAATTCTTACTACTTAAAAAGACGTTTGTGATGGTGTGTTCCTCCTCTCCGCTGTACTAAGCTTTTTTTGGATAGCAGCTATTGCTATAGCAGACAATATTCAAGGGAGAAAAATACCTTGAGAGAAATATTTCATTTTCTAGCCACCTAACCTTGTTTCTGTTAAATGTTTTGCAGAGGGTGGCAAAACCTTTGTCGCTCCCTGAACAAACTTAGCACAGCTCCTGCTCCTCCTCAAGCAGCTGTGTCAGCAACAAGGGGTTGCCCCTGCCCCCAGCAAAACATTTCCTGGGGCACGTTGTTCTGTCACCGCACTATGAACGTACGATATAGCACGCGCTGCCTTCAGGAACAACAGCCAGGTTCGCACAGCCCTCCTTCCACAGCTGGGTTGAACTTAATGACAGTGTTCCTCTAGCCCCTTACAGCCCTGTGAAGTGGTTGCAACACTAGCAATTTTAAACAAGAGGCTGCACCTTCACCCCCTGTAAGGCAGAGTCAGTACTTCACAGCTACAGAGAGGAAGTGCCATGTGGGTTTAAACATGTTCTGTTACCCCCCAACACACAGCTCCCCTTGAGCTCCAGGTGCTCCCTGGGCCCTGCCCACCACCCCATTCCCCTGTACATCTTAGAGAGAAAGAGGATACTCTTCCCACCCACTGCTTCCAGAGCCTCCCCACTCCTAGAGCATGGATTCAGCTCCCTCCCGCACCCCAGGAGGAGTTTAACAAAGGTGATCGGCAGCCACCTAGAGCAAGTCCAAAGGGAGCTTGTTAGCCATGGGGGCTTTTTCCAGAAAGGGAACAAAACCATGTCCAAGTCCACCTGTGATTCTGTCCTTTTAATTGAACTAAAAGCAAACAGCGCACAACACTGACTTGCACAAACAAGGGTTTCAATATAAGCTAAATTAATTTTCTGGTTCAACAAAAGCTTCCAGGGTCAAGTTCCCCCCATTCCAGTATATAGTTAAATCAAATTAAAGGGCACAGCAGTGGCCTGACATACTGGTGTGGAACAGAGCAGCTCTGACCTACTGACCCCTCCAGGGAACATCTGAAGTCTTTTTGGATAGTTAATCTGCTAGGACCAGTGTTTAGTGACTAGTGAATTCTGTCTTTCCCCCCCTACTTTGTATGTCTGCATAAAGGCAGGCTCTGTGTTTTAAGAATTTGTTTGCTACCATAAGTCAAATCTTTCTGCTTCCAGACTAATTGTGAAGTTTGACATAAGATTGCAAGGGCAGGTGGGAACACATGCAAGAACCTCAGCTCACTCTTACCAAGAGGGAAGAGAAACAGAGGCCCTATTCTCCCACCCCCCAGGCTTTCCAAGACCGCCCGGGAGGCGTAAGCAGCTCTAAGCATTTCACCTTAGCAGATTTCTGTAGTGGACTAGTGCTCTTTAGGTAGCAATGGTTTCTGCCGAAATGAGCACAACAAATGGTACATTTTCCCTTTAGCCCTGTCTGGGTAGGGCCCACTTGCTACTAGCAACTGACGTCTGCCTTGGTGATTGGGCAGGACCCCCCCATGCAAAAGCTCCATTCATACTGAAGCAGGTTCAGGTCATGGCTGTGCAGTGGGTAAGGGGCTCTGGTTCCACCCAGTAATTGTTTGCAGAGGCAACATAGAGCCTCACGAGCAGCAGGGACAGTGGTAGAAATCGCTCTACTCCAACACTTACTTTTGTCCAAACTTTGTCTCCCAGAAGGCTGATACATCTCACTCAAAGCTAGTTTTGTTCTAGGTGATAGGATTTCGGGATGCAGGAACAAAGATAAGAGGCTAAGGGCTGCCCCTCCCCCCTACTTCCCAGACAGCTGCTCGTAGAGTTTTGGCACATAGCTATCCCACTCCGCCTGATAGCAGGTGCCAGCCACCGGGTTTCCCAGCTTGTACTTTTTGCGGAAAGAGGCCACTTGGAACTTCCCCCGTTTGTCACCAGATCGGTTTGTGAGGATGGGTTCGTCGCAGTTCAGTGGCTGCGGCTGCTCGTAGACCAGCCACACGTACCGGTGAAGTCCTGCAGATTGGGTGGGAGAGAGACAGACACGCTATGTTAAATAGAAAAAAAAATACAGATTTTTGAAGAAAAACACTGTGGTACATAAGCTTGTGATCATACACACCCCTATGTAAGGGTCTGAGCCACACATTAATCTTGTTATTGCGTATAAACAAACCTTTCTGGTATCTACCACCATGGAGGAGGTCATGAGTCAAGTATCCAAGGAATGTGCCGACAGCACCAGGTGTAGACATTAGATAAGCGTGCCAGGCACTGTACACAGACAGGAGCTCTAGGGCAGACATCTTACACTACGGATGGAACTTTTGTTGGTTCCATGGTTTGGCTTTTTAGCCATCTTGTTGCATAAGGGCTAAGGACAAGTTTGAGGCCTTTTGGAACAAGTGTTTTAAGGGAAGGACCCGTGAGATATAATGGACGCACTGGCGCTATCCTCTCAACCACTTTCAGTAATATTGTCCACTTTAATAGACTGGGGCTGAAGGCAGAAACATGTGTTTTGCACAGATGTTAGGTCTGTAACAGCAAAATAATTGGTATTTTTCTGGCACACTCCAAGCAAGTCTTGTAAGAATGCATGTTCAGCACCCAGAAGAGCAGCAAAACAATTCCCACAGAATGTACTGACTCGGGAATTGCCAAGCATGGCCGTGTGTGACCCTGCGAGAATGAGGGGTCATCATCAGCTGTCAGTTTATAAAGATAAGGAGTATGGACAGTTCCAGCTCACACCTTTGTGCGGGTAAATATCTGCTAGGATCCTTTACAAATGAAATTGTCACTATATTTCCAGTTTTTTCCCCCAGGTTTGAGGAGGGCACAGGAAAGAAGTGGCTAATACAGATCTGTAGGGTTTGGAAGCTGAAATGTTGGCATATACTAACCACACGCACTGCAAATAGTTCTTCAGCTGTAGCGGAGCAGTTTTTAATGCAGATTGCACCAACTCCCAAATTCAGAACTGTTTTGGTCTCCTGGGCCTAACACCTGTTCTAAGGGATGTAAGAGCTTAACAGCCTCCCAGACAAACAA